TTTTTATGTTCATTGGATTATTTTTGTTTATGTCATAACCATTAATTTTTATATATATAAAATATGAATGTAAACTCTTGAGGGGATGAATTAATTTGCATGAGAACAGGAATTTGAAATGCGCATGTGTTATATGTGCGTCTATTAATTACCGATTGGGAATTATTATATGAACAGTGTTAGTTTGGTAACATATTTCCTCACTGTGCTAGAATTGGAAAAAACTCTCCAGTACACTCGTGATGTGCGCTTTTGCTACTGCTAGGTAGCAAGCATTCTCTCTCTGGAGGGGGGGGGGGGGGGGGCTCTGTTCTTTTTGTCTTGGCTACGATTGCATTGAATCCGATCAACTGCGAAAAGTCACAGAAAGGGATCCAGACAGTGGAAAAGTAGGCCAAGTGGCCAGCCATGACCGCACCGAATGTCACATGAACTGCACGTTGCACTGGCGCTGAGGTGTGCAGATGTGGAATGGGCCTCCCTCTCTTTCCATTCCCCGCACTGTCAACGTTTACTTTCATTTATGGTTTTTTATAGCAAAAATCAACTCTGTGGATCTGATCACATTAAATTAAATGATACTCATTAAACTACTAATTTATTTACACATAATTAATTTGGGATTGATACGCTGGATCCCCAATCGTGGACCGCTCCGTTCTATACTAGTATTTATTTATTTATTTATTTATTTTTATTATTACACTTTGATGGTGAGGTGAGCTTGTCCGGTGCTCGGCTTGACTTCTACAGTTATTGCTATCAAATAAGATATTCGTTTCCGGTTCCCACCTCTAGCTACCTTGCCAACGTGCAAATACTGATCGATATCTCTATCCAGACACGGAAAAAACGACAGCCACCTTTTTATTTAAGCACATAAATATGCATTTATTAGATGATTGTGCTGTAGATATAAATGCTATTATTTAATTAATCAATTAACCTGGGGTGACCCCAACGAAGCAACGCACCGATTCTCATTTTCAAAAGACAAATGGTATTATTGTTTATGATATTACTAGGCTTCAGGGGCCCGGTATTAAGAGCTCACTGCTATGAAGAAATGATCCAAATTGATCCAAGAGGCTGAAAAGAGCGTTAAACCCCCTTGTTTCTCCTACAACAAGCCCAAAACGCACAAACGGTTATTGTTATTTTTAAAAATATTTTTGATTTTAAATTATATTAAAATAATATTTTTTTATTTTTTAAAAATTACCCTTGATATCAATACAATAAAAAATATTAATTTAAAATAAAATATAATAAAATCAAAATCAAAATTTTTCAGAAGCTGGTAGATCATTGTTGTTTATGTCCTACCTGCTTCGCAAGTCCACCTGCCCGGATAGCAGTCCGAGCACAGAAACAATTCCAAAATACAAAATAAAATTGATACATCAATTATTTTTTATATATATATTTTCAACCGTCATATCAATTTAAATATTGGAGGCCTCAATAGTAATATATAAAAATATGCAATTACGCTATTTATTTTTTTGCTACTGTGCTACTTCCCTTCTTATTTTAATTTTGTGTGTCAACTAAACAATTTGTCCCTTAGATACGTATTGTTTTTGTTCTCTGCTTCTATTTATAATAGAGAAAAGGCTGATTTGGAATTCAGTAATAAACCATGCGTCAGTCTTTTCTTCTCTGCTTTTTATATGCCTTTGATCTTATGTCTTTCTGTCCAATCTTTGAGTTTTTGTATTATTTATTTATATTGCTTATCAAATATATAGGATAAATTGGGTAATTAACACTCAAAATATAATTAAATGTTGAAATAGAACAAAATAAAAAATATTTTGATAAAATAATACAGTTTGAAGATATCACAATTTAGAAACGCAATATCTCAATAATATCACAGTTCATAAACATAACATTAGATATATATCGTGTTTCATAACTGCAACAACTAATGTCTATGTTCATAACCACGACATTAATGAAATGTTGTTTTTTTGAATAGCGATATTCTCAAGGAGACCGTCTTGAAAAACAGTTGGACCGTAGCCAAAACAGTCAAACCATTTTGACTACTATAAAATTTTGGGTTATTTTTGTGTTTTAAACTTAAAAAAATTTATAAAATTATAGTTTTCGAGTGAACTTATTCTCTGTCATGACATCATCAAGAGTTAGCTTTTATTCAAAGATTTTAAATCCAATGCGGCAAATATTTAATTATCTGGATGCTACGGTGTAAACTTTACTTTTTTCTTTAGTACTACGAAGATGAAATACAGCTTCTTGACCCTCCCGTACCAAGAAGTCAATCTAATATTAATAAGAGATTAATCTTAAATTAAAATATAAGTACATAAAACTCAACGGTTAACATATATTAATCATAAAAATAAAAAAATAAAAACTTTATTAGTTATGTGATAATGAATTTGTTGTGCGTGTTGCTCATACTCATATATCTAGGTGGAGGAACCTCATTGGGATCCAGAGTATTGATATGTCATGTTATATTTGTATACCAAATCATATATGCATCGTCAATAATCATATGATGCATCTATGTAAATATCTCATTTTTTTGTACATTCCACTGTGATACATAAACGCTATGATGACTTAACTAATCATAATTATTGTTTTTACCCCTAGAAGTAATGGAGTGCAAAGTATCGATCATATTAATGTGTTCTATCACATTACCCAATCTAGGCAATGAAGCTCAATCATCTCAAAATATACTAGCAGGAACATTGTTGTCCATATATCCATCCTGCAGGTGCAAATAGTTAGAACAATGATCAATCTTTCTTTCGAGTAAGGCGTCCAAATAATCTGCAAATTATAAGTTAAATAAATATCAAATAACAATAATTCAATACAATTAATTATTTCATTTAATAAATAATTCAAAAAATAAGTAAGGAAAGTTGTGTCAATGGTAGTGAATTTCCTTGGGCTTTTTTTTTTCATGATTTGACATAGTGAGGAACAAAGAAAAAACCACAATAAAAATACGTTCTCATTTGTTTGCTAAAAATAATTTTTTTAAAAAAATGATTTTCGTGAAAAGTTTATCCATGGAAAGTTTATTATTTTATGTTAGGCAATATCATGAGAAATACATTGAAAAATATTTCTTAATATTTGACTATATTACGAAAAATAAGCTGAAAAATTTCTTTTTAATTTTTTAATTTTTTAAGTTTATTTAGCATATATATACATGTACGTGAACGCACATGCAAATATATAAATGTAACTATTTGATCACTTATAATAAAAAAAATAAAATATAAAAAGTATAATGATGAGGGAAAAAAAGAATTTGTTATATTATATATTTATATATAATTTATTTTATAAAATATAACTATACATATAATATGAAAATTTTAAATATAATATTCTAGGCATATAACATTGTTAAATATTTTTTTAGTAAATTATATTAATATGTTTAGTGATATAATAAAAAAAAAAAGAGCTGGAAATCGTCTCTGGATATATTAAAAAAAATTAGTTGGAAAATAATACATTTTGAGTTATTATTTTTCATTAAAATATTAAAAAAAATTATTAAATATTTTTCGGTGTCAGGAGAATATTAAAAATAAATTTATTTTTTATATACATTTGGGAATATTGTATTTATATGCCACCTGGGAGGAATCATTGTCAGTGTTGTCTGTCGTATATTCACAATTTTAGCTAGCAGGAGCCTATTCCGTATACATGCGAAATTCGAATCTGGATTCATAATGCATGGATATTAACATTAGTTTCAGCTATATACCCATAAAAAAACATTCTCTAATTAAATCCCGATCCCTGGGCCCTTGACATGTTTTATCCAGAACAAGAACAAGACCTTAGAGATGCCACCAAGAGCATTACGAACTTGTTGAACTTGCTTAAGAGCCCACAGCCAACAATAAAACCATTGCATCATTCCGCCGTGAAGAACAAATTCTCAAGAAAGCCAAGAGAAAATCCAATGAGGAGGAGCATCTATTGGGTGTGGGTTCATTCAGGTCGTCTCCCCTTGTTCATGGTATATTGCTCATGCAGTTGGTCTGCCCACACATTTATTTGATAAACATCAAGCCACCTTCGAAGATGGCATATGATCATACCAGATTTTCTCCATCGCAGTACCTTCAATCACAGAATTATAGACACTCATCACAGTTGTCATCTCTCCCATTGGTGTACTGACTCCTGCAGTCAAAACCCTTGAAAGGGAGACCGAAATTGAACCAGATGTTCCAAAGAGCCCAGATCTTGAAAAGATCATGGGGAGAATTGAATTTCAGAACATCCAATTCTATTACCCACTACGACCAGAAGTGAAAGCTCTCCGCAACTTCAGCTTACAAATTGAAGCTGGATTAAAGGTGGCACTTGCAGGGCCAAGTGGTCCAGGAAAGTCCTCGGTTTTGGCCCTTTTGTTAAGATTCGATGACCCTAGAGAAGGAAAGGTTATAATTGTAAAGAAGGATATAAGAGAATACAGTCTGACAAAGTTGGGGAGACAACGTGGGTGGGAAGGTATCAAGGGAGGCGAAAACTGAGGACTTAATCAGAGACAATATCATCTATGGGAATGAAGGGGCTTCTGAAACCGAAATAGCGAAGGTATCGAGGGAGGCGAATATACACCAGTTTGTTTGTAATTTGCCTGATGGATATGATAGAAGGGCTGCCTGCTTTCGGGTGGACAAAAGCAAAAGATAGCCATTACTAGAACCCTCCTAAAAAGGCTGCACTTTGCTCCTAAATGAAGCAACGAATGCCCTTAAAACTGAGCCTGAACGATCCATATTGAGTGCTTTGGGATCTCTAAACCTGAATGACAACAGGGGCTCGTACACAAACCACAAAAATTACAGTTGCACACAGGCTTTCTACAGTTAAAAACTAATACACTAGCAGTAAAGAATAAAGATGAGATTGTTGAGATGGGTAGCCACTCAGCTCTAATAGTGGCATCTGACGGAGTACATTCGAGATTATACCAGTTCCAGAACTCGACAGAAAATTGATATTCCCCTTCCATCACACAAGTCACTTTACTGCGTGAACAATATATCCTAAATACATTTTAAGTCACTTTGCTGCGTGAACAGTTTATACTAAATACAAGTCAAAGCATGATGTTGATGCAAATGTTTTCATTTTCATCATCAAAGAGAGAAGGATGAGATTTAATTACCAATGGACAAGGATAAAAGAGAGGCACAAAACTTCAAAATATTCTTCTAAAATTCAATGAAGACACTATCTATTTTCTTGAGCTGCTCCATCTCCTCTCCAATTGCTATTCCAGGATCAATGTAGCACAACTGGAAAGAAAAAGGAAGGGAAAAAAAAATCCTAATTGAAGCTTCCAAGAGAAATAAGAGAAAAGATAGGTTGACTAGAGGAGTAGAACCTGGTATTGGGGCTTCTTCAATGTGTGAGCTCCTCTTTTTATTAGCTTCTTCCATCCAGCATTTTCTCTAAGTGATCTTTCTAGAGCTACAGTTCTCTATTTTTGCAATACAGAATAAAACCAGATAAATATAGTAGAAATCACAAGAAAATATATGCACCATTTTGACAATCTCAATTTTCCTGTCTATACAAAACAATGATTTCCAAACTGAACTTTTTTCATTTGGATCAAATATTTAAAAAACCACAAATTATAGGATTCATGTCCTTCCCACAACAATTCACTTTTTCCAAAAAAAAAAAAATGTCCTTCCCACAATTTATGTGACAAGCAGTTTCTTAGCAGAAATGTATCAAGATAGAAATACTAGAATTTTAGCTTAGCTCAAACCTCGGGATATTTGAGGGATGGTAGAAAGAACATTATTTTTCCGGGGTTCAATGGTAATATTAAGGCCAAAGAGGAAAAAAGAATGGAACCAAAAAATTATTCTAGTAAACGGATGAGATGCAAGGTTCAATGCACATACCAGCCCAAATTCCCATACGAATAATTACAGAAAGACATCAATAGGGAAGCAGGTTGAAGCTTTTGAATATTTTAATGTCCTTTATTATATGTTCAATAATCAAGCCAAAAAACGCAGGAGGCTTATTACTTACATGAGCAGGGTCCAAAATTAAGAGGTTGTACTGCGGCACTCCATTCTGTTGACGTCTGAATTGAATCCCAACAATAGTTCTTGAGTGACCATCATGTTGGAAGTACAAGGGTCTGCTCGTTGATGTTGTCAACAACTTGAATCAATTCCAGAATCACAATTTTCCTATTTGATAAAACCATAAGGCAAAAAATAAGATGCATGGAAAGAACAGCTTACACTCTGTTGGTGATGACAACATGCCGATTTTGGACAGATGTGGTTAAGCTTTCCTCTGAAAAATAATTCCAAACCCAGTCGAGGAGAACCTGATGACCCTCTTTCTTCCTCGGAAATCTAGTTGCCATAGAATGATCACTTCCACCAGCCACGTAATTGGTAGAGGACTGAGACTGGTCATTCACAATGGAGTCTAGCTGTGAAACATCAGTATTTCGTCCCACCAAATATCTATCCATGGGTCCATAAACCTGAAAGGCTTTTCTCTTGTCACTAGCATTGGCTGTCACAACAGGTGGGTTAAGACTGGTACCAGGAACGGAAAGAAAAAAGCTTTGCAATTCCTTAGGGCCAAAATCTACAATCCTAGCACGAAGACCAAAAGAGCGAAAAATGGCAGCACATTCAGTAGTTCCAATCCAATGTTTAGAACCATAGACAGAATTGTTGAAATGATGAGAGCCAAGGGCATCAAAACCTTTTTCCCAGGCAATCTCAAGCCATCTCTGAAGAAACGGAATGTCAGGGACAAAACCAGAGCCACCGAACAAAAGCTCACTGGCATCATGTCTATGGGAAAGCAAATGGGAGCTAAGCATTTGGATATTACGCCAACCACAACCCCAGCCAGCATCTTCAGAAGCCAAGCTCTGAAAATGGTCAACATATCCAGACAATAAGACAGTGGTGTTGGTATCAGCATCTAATTCGAAACAGTTGGACAACAAGGAGATCAAACCACCAGGGAATTTGACATGGTAAAAGGAGCTCCTATACTGCAAAGAAATCAAACAAGAAATCTTTTCATCCATAGTGTTGTTCTCTTGGAGTGTGAATGTAGAAGAAGGGGGCGGAATAGAAAGTTGTTGGGCCAACTCCAGGTCCCTTGCAAGTTGCTCATCCTTTTCAGCAACACCATCATCCTCGTCAAAGTGGCTGTTGGCATGCCTGCTATTTGTGCATAATCAAATCAAATGCTTTTTAAACAATCTATCAACAAAAAAAAAAAGGAAAGAAAAGGAAAAGGGAATATTTACCTTTCAAGTTGTGACGGAGGAAGGGTTAGATGACAAAAGGGACAATTTACAGAAGTTTCCATCTTTTTCTTCTTCTTTAATTATATTCTCTCCATTCTGCATTGCATGATATGATTATGGTGTACCAGGCAGCAATTACTGTGAAACTTTGAAGCAACCAAAGAAGAATAGGATATAACATCAGCACAGCAGTGCAGAAATAGAAGACTAACAAGCAAAGCGGTAGAAGAAAACTTCAATAGAAGACGAGAAAACCCTAGTCAATCTCAATCCCAGTCCCAGTCCCAGTCCCAATCGGACCAATGCCTGTCTGCTGCCCACTGCTCGCCTTCCACTTCACTCCGCGTTGGCGTTTACTAATTTAGTTTCTGTCTTAATTAATAATCCTAATAATGTTTAAAACGATAATGAATAGTGCTTTAATTTATTTATGTATTCTGTTCCCAAAAAATCAAAAAGCGCAAAATATGAAGTAATAAAATTAATTTTTTGGTAGATAAGTGATGAAGTTAATTTAGAATTTCATTTATATTGATATCTCTCACTTGTGAGTTATCATAAAAAATTATTTGTCGAGTTCTTAAATATATATTTTTTAACAAAGTATTTAATTGAATTCAATTTAGAACTTCTAATAAAATCTTATATTTAAAACTAATTTAAATGTAAAAAATTTAATTTAATATCTAAAAATGGTATAAAAATAAATGAGAAGTAGCTCCTCTGATTTATTAATATTAAAACTACTTTTTTAAAATATTTCATAAAGGTGAGGAACTGAGGATAATACAAAAAAACAAAACAAAATAAATTTTATCTTTTAAAACTATATAAATTCAATACTAATTCAATTATAATAAATAGTGTGTACAGCTACAAAACTTAGATTTTAATAAAAAAAAAATTATATTTCTAAGGCTCATCGCATACTAACTCAACAAATCAATTTATTAATTTTTAATGAAATATTGTTTTGAAAAAGAAAAAATAAAAAGAATACTAAATCATTTGGGTTTTATAAAGTCTAACTCCTAGACGATTTAAAAGCAAACCTGGCCTAGACCAGCCGATATCATCCCATTAATCCGAACTGGTTATTATATCTGTAGTTTAACCATTCCCTTAGAACTTGTCTTCCTAGGGTTTCCAAAGCTCTCCCAACTTTTTGACAGTTCACAATGGAGACCTTCCTCGCATTCCCTAAACAATTTATTATGTATGCAGGCGCATGGTGGTGAACGGGAGAGGGTAATAGGCAGCATCCACTAAATCCGGTAATTGACTTGATCAACATTACAAATTTCTATCATGAATTGATATGTACATAATATGTTAATCCCTCTCCACAAAATGATCTGTTACGTTATAAATGTAAGATTAACTGCGTTATGTTGGAGCTTCTGCAGTTTATTATTTTGATTAGAACAATTCCCTCGTGTACCTTTCCCTTAACAAATCAAAGTCTCTCTAAGACAATGAACCTGCCAGAACCAGCTGCAATTAAGCTTCTTCTTTTCTGACCACCCGAGTTCCACTCTTTGAAAGCAAGAGGTCTTTCATTTCTCTGTAACTCCGGAGCTCTTCCAGCGCATCTGCTGTCTTTCTCGGCAAAAAAAACCCAGAAGCTGTGCTCATCCCTTCCTCTACATCAGTCCTCAAGGAGTGGGATGAGTAACAGCTTGGATCTTGACGCAGAGGAGGTGCTGTCCTCAGCATGTGAACAAGGATACCAACGGCAGCATCTTGAGATTTTTTCCCTATTGATGCAGTGTGGGAACTGGACTCCAAGTTTTTCTTCCCATAAAGGTTCTGACTGTATACTCAAAAGAAAATACAATAAAAAAGATTATGGTGGTCATGAAAATAACAAGAAGAAACATAGAGCAGTCTAGAAGCGAAAAAATTAAGCCTCGGCCTCAGGATTGAAAAGAAAAGCGTCATAAACAGATGAACTTCAGCAAATAAACAAACAAAATGATGAATCCCCCGTTGTGTTTTATCTCAACTTCATCAAGGGAAGAAATCATGGAGCTAAGTTGTGCCAAACTGCCAACAAGATATGCTAGCTTTCTTTGATCCACATATATGAGGTGGTGGGGCCATCAAGGACAAGGATCACAAAGCAAACAAGATGATAAAGGAAAGGTAAATACACTACCAAGATCCTCAAACTATTTTTTGGTTAAAAATAGGTCTTCCATTAATTTGAACTACTGATAATAGTTTAGAAACACAACATATGTCAGGAGCCAATTTTTCACCAAAAAATAGTTCATAGCACTCAAATTAAAAAAATTAAAGTTCATGGGCTCAGTTCAGGGTAATTTCGGGTAATTTAGCCTTTTCTATGAAACTTGAAATCTCGATTCATTGAAAACTATTTTTTTAATGAAATCCACACATCAGGGACCATTTGCTTGAATTTAAACAATTTGTGCTCGTGAAACCTGTAAGCCCTCTTGCGGGACATGCAATTGTGATCTAAAACCATGAGAACATATTGAGCAAGAAGGGGATGATAGATATTTTTCAAGCTTCTTATAATCAATTTAGCCTTAAATAAGAAGAAGCATTGACATTTAAGCAGATGAGAAATTCCATATACTGAGCTAATGGGTGTTTCTCCGGGAGGACAGCAAGTAAAACCGAGAAATCACAATAGTTACACACTTGAAAACTTAAGGCAGGCTTCTCCAACTAGAGGAAAATGACTCAGAACTAAATTTTTCATGTTGGAAAAGCATATAGCGCTAGATGTCAAGGAGAAACTGATATCAGATTTAGTTTAATTAATTAGTTATCAAGAATTATTCAGTAACAGAGTGAACCTTGACAAAGGTAGATGCAATTTCAAATTGAGCATTACACATCACCATCAAATTAAACAAGGAAACAACAATATAGATGGACTTTATAACAAAACTACTCAGAGAAAACAGCAACAAACTGCAACCATGGAACTATCTTCCAGAAGAATTCCATGCATCTAGAGACAACTCGCAAGGCTTTGCAGTAGATTACAAACTAAACACGCAGCCAACATAGAACAGATGATCATACTGAAAATAAGCACATGTGAATAAAATATGGAATAGAAACCAACCCTATGGATTCGTATAGTTACGCAATTCATATACAGTTAGGTAGACACTACTTATGCCTGGAATTTCAAAGTACCTGGCATGAGAATCTGATGTATCAACATCATCAACATCAAAAGGACACGAGAAATCATCATCATCATCTAAGTCATCTTGGAAAGATAATCTACTTGAACTTCTGGAAAAACCAACGCGTGGAGAGCCACTAGAAGATAACAACCCTGAGAACCGCCCTGAATCATCTTTGCTATCTCTTAACAACTAAAAAGAATTGAAATTAGAAACACCAGTCAAAACATAATTTGATGGCTGAAATTTTCAAGCAGGAAAAAAACCACTTAAAAACAGATTGATGAGAGCAGAGACTACCTTCTGACCAGAATAATGATTTGCATTGCCAGAGTTCAACTCCGCAAACCTTATAGCTTCTAATTTCTTGATTGATCGAATTCCAGAAGGAGACTCCTGTGATGATGAATCATGCCTTGTGCTTCTGGGAGATAAAGGTGGAAGAGAATGCCTACTTGAATCAGAAAAGTTAGGAGACAGGTATCTCGAACTTCTGCCGTCTGATATAGGAAGTGGAATAGTAACGGGTGCAGTTTCTGAAGTATCACGAGCTAGGACAGGACTACCGTTGTAAAAGTGCGTTGGCGTAGAAGGGGACATGGATGATGAGAATGGAGGAGAAAGCTGGTACTCATCATGATAATTGGCCTTTTGAGGAGTTGATGGTCTATAGTTTTGGACTCTATGACCGTAAATATCATTAGAGGGGGATGGAAAATCACATGGCATGCGAGATTTGCGATAAGCTGGCGGAGATCCACCAACTGGTTGGTTCACCATATGAGCTGCTCTATGGAAGCCGCTTGTCCAGCTATGCGGGCGTGGAAAAGGAGGAGAAACATGTGGTTGCATTCCTCTCAATAGAAAGGACGTAGCACCCACGCCCTTCTCTGAAGAGGGTAAAGACCTAAGAGGATCTGTGGTGGGGCTACCGACATAGTCCATTATAATCTTTGGTGTCATCGTTGTCACGGGCTCAAGCTTGAAATCAGATAGTGTCGAACGATAGGTCACAGATACACAAAGGCGGCCAGGAAGGGCCTCAACAGGGCTAAAACTGAGCTCCTTCATTACTTCCTCATCAGCCCTGGAGAACGGTTCGCAAAATGAAGAAACTTTGTAAATGATATGGAAATTGTAAGTTTGAGTAGATGAGCTTAGCTGGCGAAAGACCCTGTATGCGGGGAGAAGCCTCATATGAGAGTAAAGAGAGCGTAAAAGTATGATGGACTTCTTATATGTCTTCTTGTAAGAGGCAGAATTTTCACCGGTCTGGGGAGGCATAACCCGCAGGGACTCATACTGAACAATCCACCTCTCTATAACTGTCTCCACAGATGTCCCAGCATACAAATTGTCCGTGGATGCAGACGGAGTAGACGGTTGGCGAACAAGTAGAACATCAATTATCATGGGATCCGTGAGATTTCTGTGCCAAAAATTCAAGTTATCGAGAGCAGCAGGGCGGTCTCCGAGAACTAAATTGAACCATTTGTCGCTCTTTTTGACACGAGAAGTGGAAGGAAGTTCCCTGCTGCGATCATGGGGACGAAGAGAAGGGATTCTTGAGTCCAAGATGATGTGCAAGCTCTTCAATAGAAACTGGGAAATAATTTGTTCTAGTTTTCCAGAATCAGGGTGAGAATTACCATGCATATCCATGGTGCTACTCCAACTTTGAGATCCCGGCGAGGGGTGTATATGACCCTAAATCAAGACGATAAAACCGGAATTCCCTTCCCTTCTATTTTTTTGGGGTTAGAGGTAAACAAGAGGATTAATTTTGATAAAAGAAGGGGAAAAAAAAGAAGAGGATTAATGTGGGTGTGGCGAAGGAGCAAGAACAAATGATGGTAGGAATAGATTTGTAGCTCTGCTCGTCAAATTAATATCCAAAAGAATCGTGTGAGAATTGAAAAAAAAAATAAAAAAAAGAGGAGAGAAAAAGGAAATATAAGAAAATGGGGAAGAAAGGATTAATGAGTCATCAGAAGCATAGTAAAGCTAACAGATCATAGCAAGCCGATGGCGATAGATCGATGGATAAATGAAATGTTGATCGAACGTGCCGTGTTAGTATGAAGGACAGATTCAGAACTGGGGGGTGGGGGGGGGGGGGGGATCTGGGGGGGGGGATCTTGATGCGATAAGGCGGAGCAGAGCAAAAGAGAGCAATCTCCCACGTAATGATTGCTGTATAGAAATAAAGAAATAAATAAATGTTTAAAAAGAAGGAAGGAATTGAAAACTTACCCGCAACGTTAAAATAAGACGTGAAAGAGAAGAGTCTAATTTAATTTCGTTTGCCGGAAGAGAGACGCGAAACAGTCTAAATAATAACAACAATAAAAGGAGAATCCCAGAATTCCTTCCGGCAGGAGTACTGTTGTTAAAGAAAGAAATGGGTGTGGAAAATTAGTCCACAATTATAATCAAAACAAATCAAGTAATGATGGAACGCCTCTTCCTAATCACTGCTCATCCGTCTCCTTTCATTTCAAAATCCCCTCCCCCCCTCTCTCTCTCGAATTATTGTGCCAGCGTTTATTTTCAAAGTTTCTTTATTTTAGAAATATAATAAAATAATAATTTTTATTTTTAATATTAGCGTATTATTCAAAAATATCAAATAATTAATTTAAAACAAAAAAAATTAAAAATCACGATCAGCCGCACAGTATCCCTCGGCGCGCTACCCCTCCGACACCATCATTATCCTTTAACTTTTATTAAAATATTATATTATACATGCCAAATTATTTTTAAAACACCCCCCCCCCCCCCCCCTCCAGTCATCAATTATTAAGATTATTAAAGTAAGGGTAAATCATGTCGTTCTGTCAGGTCCTTATAAATCTTAAATTAATTAAAATAAATCAATCAATAAAGAGTGGTGATGACGCTCCTCCATCCAAACAACAAATGAATTCAACAATGGGCCACTGCCCACGGGAGGGCTAAAAAGTCCAAGTTCCTTACTGGTGCTCTTCGCATTTGGGTTTAGCTTTCTGAGGAGGGGGTTGTTCGTAACTGAAACGGGCCTCAGCGACTTCGATGCTCGCTGTCCCCCGCGAAGCTACTGAACACTTGCGTCATTCCAAGTTGAGGTTCCTGTCAAGGAAATTCAAAATCAAAATTTCTCATCTATTATAGATCTTCACGCACAATTTGGTGCTCCATCTTCTAAGTTAGCTCCTCTTCTGCCTCATTCTTTTATTACATTATGATATACTGTAAGATATATATACAAATCAATATACATTGTTTTTGGTAAGCGGATCAAAAACACATTGCAAACAATCTTCTTATTGTTTTTCTTTTAATTTGGTATCAGAAACTTCTAACTCCTGTTATCCTTCTTTCCTGAATTCGCCTCTGCAAATTATCTTCCTCTTCATCTTCAAATGATTTCAACATTAAAAACTCTCTACACCTCACCACCAACATCTTTCAAACTCGATGGGTCAAATTATCTAAGTTGGCAGTCTCAATTCCTACCATTTCTCGATAGCAATGATCTTCAAGGGTTTTCGGAAGGCTCTGATCTCATCCCTTAAAAGATTAATACTGATAATTCCCATAATCCTTCTTACATAACCCTAGTATGCGAAAGATCAAACTCTACTTGATATTATGTTATCCCCAATCCGTCCAAACATCATTGTATCAGTGTATGGTTTAAACACATCTAAACAGGTTTGGATTACTCTTAAAACTAGATTTTCTAACCAGTCATGAACTCGTATTTCAAATCTAAAATGTCAATCGCAAACTATCCCACAAGGTTCACGATCATGTTCCATATATTTAAAAGGTTTCAAGCCTATGACAAATCAACTTGCTGCAGTAGAAAAATCCATTGATAATTAAGATTTAATTTCATTCATCACTTAAGGTCTTAACTAAGAGTTCAGCTATTTTATAACTTCTTTCAATTTTTCTTCTAGAGATAAGAACTTTACATTTGAAGATTTTAGTGTTGAATCACTTAGAAGTAAAGCACTTCTAGATACTAATGTTAGGTAGTGATGTCTAATATACTTTTGATTTTGCTGCTAAGAACTCATTTCCAACATATAAGAAATCATTTCTTTCTGCTACTAGTACAAACTATTATTTTCAATTTAGTTTGAATTTTACTTAAAAAATAATCAAATTAAATTTAAAAAAATTAAAATCAATTTAAATTAACTGGTTTTGGTTCTGTTCATTTCAATTATTTCATGACAAAAACTGAAACCCAACCAGTTTATTTTTTGTTCGATTTAGTTATTTTATATCAAAAATCAAGAACTATAATTTTTTTTGGGATTTTTAGTAATTTTCAATGGGTTTTTTTTGCTTAGTTTTTTTGGTTTAGCTTGATTTTTTTTGTTTGGCTTAGTTTTTTCAATTTGGCTCGTTTTTGTTCAGCTTTTTAATCAAACTGATTAATTTTTTAAATATTCTAATCGGTTTTTTTCATGATTTAATTTTTTTAGTTATTTTTTTAAGTTTTCTCGATATAATTAGTTTTTTGGTTTTTTTCTCACCTCTATTTAGCAAATTCATTCCTCATGCCAATCCATTATGTGTCAAAATTCAATCCCTACATGCTTCATATAACAGATCTATGATATAAAAGGTTATAATGTTATCATAAATTTGATTTTGTATATCAAAGGTGTTATCCTCTTTTTAAACTTGCAACAATGATGATCAAGTCAAATGCTCAACATAAACATTAAATATGATATACAAATAATGGAGCTAATGCTCATATAGCATTTGATGATCAAATTATCTCTTAAAAATTATCTTTTAATAGAGGAGAAACTATTAATATAGGAAATGGTACATGCTTGTTAATTAAAAGCATTAAATCCATATCATTACAAATAGACAACATTAAGTTTTGTTTCTCAAAATCCTTCAATGTCTATATGCATCCATTGATCTTTTGACATTAATAAGTTTTGTTTAGAAAATATTTGTTACTTTATACTTATTAGATCTACCTTTAATCTGAAGAAGAATCATATAGGTCAAATTTTATTCCATGGACATTGTTGTAATTCGTTTTTGAATCCCTACATAAAAAAGAAGAAAATATAAAAAAAAATAAAAATATATGTTAAAAAAAAAAAAGAATGCGAATAGGAGGCCGGAGTGCCTAGAAAATGGTCAAAAATTGGTTGAGGAGGTTATAATATATAAAGATTAAAATTGACAGTATTTTATTGACTGATGAGAGCCCTATTGACCAAAAAAAATCAATTTGAGAAAAAAAAGTCCAAAATCAGACATTTATGAACTCAATTAAATTTTATTGAAGGTTTAATTGAATTTATGAAGGGTTTCATTGTAAGAAAAATTGATTTTGGAGTTAATTTAGGCTTTAATTGAAAAAAATTAAAGTTATAGGGTCAAATTATTATTTTTTTAAGTTAATTTAGTCAAATCCAGGGCTTAATTGCATACATATAGAAGTTTGATGGCTATTAAAGACTTGATTGAAGAAATCTGAAACCAAAGACCAAACTAGAAAAGACGCGTAAATAGAGGGGCAGTAATTGAACCAAATCAGGGGCCAAGTTGAAGAAATTGAAAGTTTATTACTCAACTAAGGATCAAATTATATAAATTCAAGACCAAGGACCAAAGTGAAAAAGACAACCAACTTCAAAGCCACTGTTGGATTTTTGGCATGAATGCAATTGCATTTATTTTTTTAATCAAAATTGCAATTGAGGACTCTATTGAACAAATCACAAATTGAGAACCAAGGTGAACTCTAACATGTTTTTGTTGCCTTTTCATTTAAATACAATAGCAAATTTGGCCCAAAACTGCACCATTTCATAAACAGTTCATGTAAAAAAAAAAAAAAAGTCGAAACGATGCTGTTTTGTAGGTACTGTGAGTCTTCTTCTTCCCAGGACAAGCAAAGCAGGGGAAGAAGAAGATTTTTTCTTCCCCTGTTCTCACCGCCTTCCTCTTCCCCTGATGATCTAGAAAGACTACGACCAGGGACCCCTCTACCTGCAAAAACATTTACTTGGTAAAGATAGGAAGAGAGGTGTATCTAGGGTGGTAGAGGAACAGCTGAACAGTAGCCTCCCCAACCTCCCTACACCATTGACTAGGCAGGGGTGTAGACCTCATTTCTCCCAATATAGTAGAGAAAGGAGGCATGTGGGATGATGAAAAAAAGAAAGAGAAGGAGAGAAAGAACATAGATAAAAGAAAATGAAGAGCAAAGGAGAGAAAAACAAAGCAAAAAAAAAAAAAGAGAAGAAAACCGAGAAATAAAGAAAAAAAACAGAGAGATAGGGATGGAGGGGGGGAGAACCAGGAAAAAAAAAGAAGCAAAGAAAACAAAGAGATAGGAGAAACAAAGGACCAGAAGCAGCACCACTAATCCGGCCAACATCTCCACTGCCATGAGTCACCATCAACAACAACGGCCACACCTCCTTTCACCAAGTAAGTTTCTTTCCTTCTCTACTTCATCTTGTTTTTTCTTCCCCGATCATTAGCATGCAGAAGGTAAATTTACGTTTTGCATCCAATGTAATTTTTGGCTGGTTATTGTGCATAGCACAATAACCAGCCAATTATAATAGAATGGGTCAATTATGGCTCATTTTGCATGTTGGGTCGATTCTGACCCATTTTATTATGGGCAGGTATCGACCCATTGCATTTTATGTTGGGTTATTGCTTGGGTTGAGATGGTTGCTCAACCACTATTATCTAGCATCACCCAACCATCTACCTCAACTTCACTTCCAGCAACAGCCATGCCAGGTAAGTCTTTCTTTTTCCCTCGTTTGCTAATTTAATTATTTTATTATTGTTGCATAACTAGCTTGGTCACTGGTTTGGGTGAGTGACCTGGTCGAGCCGGCTAGATCAAGCTCAACTTGTACAGCTAGGCTAGATCCGACCCATAAAAAAAAAAAAAAAAAGGAATTGTTAAGCCGGACTGGACCTATACCTTAGGCTTAACCGACCCAATTTTCTTTAGGCTAAAGAAGTGTTTGGTAAAACATACCCTTGCCTTTTTCCCTTTAATCTCACCCCTTTTTTTTATATGTAATAAATAGGCCCTTTAGAT